CGGAGTGGCTTCAATCTTTCAGGGTCCGATTTCATCAAACCATGAGAGACTTCGTAACCTAGGAGTTTTACTTCTCTGGTATCAATGATACACTTTTCTTCGTTTAGAGTAAGTCCATATTTTTTAACAGCGTTGAAAAAATTCGTTAGATTTCTTTGTTCAGTCCGCGTACAGTAATGTTGTCGATGTAGGCGAAGGTGCCCAGCAGGTTTCCTCCTGAATGAGTTTATCGATTGCCTGCTGGAAGCAAGCGATACCATTAGTCACTCCGAAAGGTATTCGACAGAATTGATACAGCCTGCCGCATGCTTCAAAGACAGTGAATGGTCGATCCTTTGCCTCTATAGCGATTTGTTGGTATGCACTTCGTAAATCTAAGGCACTGAAGACGGTGTATCGTGATATTTTGGACACCATTTCGTCTATTCACGGCAGTGGGTAAGCGTGTAGCGATTGATAGTTCGACTATAGTCGACTACCGTGCGTCTCTTGTGTCGTTCATTTGTGGTTACAAGGACTTGTCCTCGCCAGGGTGAAGTTGAAGTCTCAATGATGCCCTCCTTAAGAAGACGGCGAACTTCTGATCGAATGAATTTTTCGTCATCGGGAGTGTGGCGGCGTGACTTGGTTGCAACGGGTTTACAGTCTGGCAGCAAGTTCCTGAAGAGAGATGGTGGTTCGATGCATGAAGCAGTTGAGTTACAAAGAGAAAGGGAGGATCTGTTAACCCTGAACGGGATTTCAACTGCTTTGTGGAGTTAAAAACAATCATGTCCCAGTAATACATCGGCACAGAAATGTGGGAGAACTGAGAGTTTGAAATTATCGTATGAATTGTTCCTGAGGTCTATGGCGACTAGGCAGTGACCTTTCGTGTGACTAACCAATCTCGTGGGTGCCATCAAGATTGTACTGGATGACTGCATGACCTTCAGATGGTTTCGTTTTACGAAAGATTCCGAAATATAGCTTTCGGAGCCTCCGGTATCTATTAGAGCTTCAACGGGGATCTTATTCACGGTGATTTTTACCAGTGCGTTATAGAGACAAGCAGGAGCGGACGCCGAGACTGGTTGAGAGTGCAAACATAGTGGCCGAGGTTGACCGTTTCTCCGGAAGCGATCTGCAAACCCGTTTGAAATGTCCCTTCTTCCCACAATTACTGCAAACTGCGTCCCTCGCTGGACATTTGAAACGAGGGTGTCCGTTGTTTCCGCAAAAATAGCATTTGCTTTTGACCGCGGCCGAGGTTTGCACATGTGGGCTGTTGCTTTCCTTGAGATTGCACGTGGGACTTTCTTTGGGTTCAGATGAACCCGAGGTTGCTGCTGTATACGACATTGGTGTTGTCTGAAAAGCATTAGACTGTTGTTGTGTCATTTCAAGTGATCGAGCTAGTTCTAGGGCGGTCGGTGGATCTAGACATCTGTTTTCAAGAAGACGCTGTCGCACAACGCCTGACAGCATCCCGCTTATGATGGCGTCTTGTATGGCGTCATCCTGATTTTGTTCAGCCGTTACGGCCTTAAAGTTGTAATCTTTGGCTAAAGATTTAAGCTTCTGAAAGAATTGATCGAAATTTTGCCCTGGTTCCTGTTTGCAGGTGGCCAGTAGATACCGGGCAAACACCTCTTTTGGTGGTTTGATAAACAGCTTTTCCAGGGTTTTCACAGCATCACTGTACGAATTACAATCTGCAACTTGGAGAAATATAATTGTAGATAAAATCCAATTTTTCGGGGTCTTCAACCCCAATTTTAGCAAGAAATCTGTCGAAGGTGCAAAACCAGTGTCGCCATATTTTCGAGGAATTAGAAGTATTCGGGTCCGTATCGAATCTTTCGGGTCGAAGGAAGCATTCCATTTTGAGATAATTCGTATGTTGAATAAATTGATGTGAAAGACGATCGCAACAGCCGTTGAACAGGAAGAAGACAAAGGCCCGATACCTAGGCTTTATTCAACATACAATGGACGACAGGGGCTGAAAAGGAATGAGGGGAAAATTTAGAGAGGCGAATACAAAGTAATGTGAAACGACAAACAAGTGTAACATAACAGGTATGTGCTTTGCACCTTCAAAGTGCAAATTGATGCTATAGGACTGGGTGTCGCCTACTCCCGCCTTGAAACTAAGTGGCCAGGAATTAATTAAAGTGAATTACTTTTCGTACTTGGGTAGTTGCGTGACCAATGACGGAAGCGCAGCAAATTAGATAACCACTCGCACTTCTAAGGGTCAAACGGCATATGCAGGACTGAAACGCCTTGGCGTAGACGCGATGTTTCACTGAAGTTGAAAGGTCATGTATATTTTGCTAGCGTTTTGTTTGGTCGTGCTGTATGGTTTTGAGACCTTGAATTTGCGAGCAGACGATATCCATCGATCAGAGGTTTTCGACTACCGGTGTTTAAGCATTTTATCCCACGTGGGATGGAGCGAATGAGTCAGTAATCTGGAGGTAAGTCGTCGTGTATTCGGAAGTCCATCAGGTATAAACCTGCTAGCACGTCGAATTCAGAGTAGTAAACTTCGCTGGCTAAGGCAAGTATTGTGTATGCCCCGCTACCGTCTACCACATCGCGCCTTATTCGCTATAGCCGCTTCGGGCTGGAGGAAACCATGTAGAGGCTAACAGATGACGTGGAGGCGAGGCATGAAGAAATGCACAAAACTATTAGGTAGAGTAGGTGTCTCGCCTTCCAGGTTGGGGTCCGAAAGACTCTGCAACTGGTTGGTTGGAAACATTGAAGGACATAGCAGCGAACCGACATCAGTGGCGTTATTGTTATCATTTCTAATCAGGCCAGAATGCTTGAACCGGTATGTATACAGAGTTCGATTATGTACTCTGTGTTGGCCGTAGAGTTTCACCTTCTCCATCCCTCAAAGTAGGTCCGATTCCTGTGTCTTACATATTACCATTAGCCTTGTATGCGTTGCGAGTTTGGCAGCGATCAGTGAATTTCACTTCACTGCATCTCACTGTACGATCATGGTGATGATTGGTGTTTTGCTCCACTTCGCTGCCGTCTATGTTCTCATTTGTCTCATGGATCCATCCCCATGATGGACTGACCCTGACACTTGTCCACACGCCCGCAGCCCCCAGGCTTACCGCACTATCGTTTCACAGAGTGTTCCGCAATGACGCTCACAACCATTATATTTCGATTGGTTCCCCTTAGGTCACAGTTAACTTTCACAGATGCGCACGTTCTTATTTGAAGTCGTTTGGTTGATTCCTTCCATTATCACTGCTCACAGTCGCTACTTGATGAAATACTGGCTTTACAGATTGCAGTGTTTGCCAAAGCGCATATTGCCTTTGTTTGAGTACTTTACAGGTTACAAAAATCCACATAGAGTGACGCTCTTTGTAGAAGAAACCTGTTTGTTGAAAGACACCGTCTTCTGTGTTTTTTGCGCATCACTAAGTGGATCGTTTTAGCCCGAGAATTCAATGCTTAATTTTTCTCTTCCGGGACTAGCTCCACAATCTTTCAGATCTGAAGTTGCAACTCTCTCCCTTGAGCTCATCGGTTGATGGTTGACACCTTAATTGGCTGACTACATTAATTTTGAATTGGTTGACCATCATCAGTACCATCGCGTGCAGCGATATACAGGGAAGCGAAGTTCACTGATCGCTACCAAACTCGCAATGCGTATGCATTTAATGGCCTGTATTGGGCCATTTATAGCACTAAATAGCCGACATTAGCAATCCCTAGCATCGGCAAGGTCAACTAGCATAACCAAAACTATAACATTCTTCATGAATATTTGCAAATTTAAGTGAGCCCAGATTTAGCCTGACTCAGGTAACTGTGATGAAGCTAGGTCAGTCTGTCATTTCTGGGGCAGTGTTTCTGTAGATGCTCTTTGGCATCATCATCCGATAACTAATCTGTGTGATCCATTTCGAATCATTCGTGTTCTCATGTTTTATTTACACTTTCGAATCGGTTTTCTATCCACTAAACCGTTTGTTACATTTTCGATTGACTCACAGAAACAAAAGAAAAAGGGAAAGAAGCACAAGGTGCCTGTGGCCCATGATGGAGACGCTCCTTCAACATCAGCAGGAGAATCGGCCGCCGGAGAAGATTCGAAAGCAGTAGCCAATAATCTGATGAAAAGCGGACTCAGTGACTTGTTGCTTAAGCGGCTGACAAACGTCATGCTTGTGTCGGGCACCGATAGTCTCAACCAAGTTCCCGGTACAACCAAGGAAAAGCGATGCAAAAACGATTATCGCTTTTGGCGAACACAGCCAGTACCGGACCTAAGTAAGTTAATTTTTACTACTCAGAATAACTAGATTTTGGGTTGTGCATGCATTGACTCTTGTGTGTCTATGACCTTGTAACACACGGAGCTTAAGGCGTCGGAAGGAGAAGGTTGAGCCTCAAAAGCGCCGTATAATGATTGAGTTAATTTCTTGTGTGTTTCAAAGACAGTATACGTCTTAATTGAAAGTTTTCAGGGCTCTAGCTTAGGCGGCTTGTTAGCCGCTCTAAAATTGCAAACATTAGATTCAGGTAAATGAAGAGATCTTGATTTCATTAATTCGTATATATATATGATAATAAGTAGTATGTGAATGAGTGGACAAAATTTCCCTGGAAGCACACGACCGGTTTCGCGGTTCTTGCCGCTCGTCAGGCATGCGTATCCGGTAGTCTTTTGTCAGTTCATTCATATACTTGTACCCAGGAAGTGTATTTTCGTCACAATAACCTTGTTTGCAACGCCGGGTGACCATTGGATAGACAGCTCTTTCAGAGCCAGTCCAATGAAGAATCAATGCTATGATTCGATGTTTTGTAAGTGGGTTAGATGCTACTAACCGCAACAAACGTGACCTGATGGTCTTGGTGGAATATTTGATAATAAGTAGTATGTGAATGAGTGGACAAAATTTCCCTGGAAGCAAACGACCGGTTTCGCGGTTCTGGTTTGCATGGTGCCAACGAAAGAACACTAACAACAGAGAACGGGAGGGTGAGGTGGGATACAAAGTAGTGGATAAGAAAAATAATAATTTTTGATATTTTGTGTTTATCGTTTGTTATGAGGCAGAATGTACAGCATTCGCATCACAGATTTCTATTCTGGGCCAACGACAATTCTCATCCCTTGAACTCCGACATGAAAGGGTGAGCTGCACCAACTAAAACCAAAGCTGATGCTAGCTTCTTTATACCTCTACGTCATATCATGGTCTGACCGCCGCGGCGCTTCTTCCAAACTTATCTAGCACATGCAAAGAGGGCACAGAAGGATAGATGATGGACAGGTGTACGCAAAACGCAATCAAGTCATCGGAGACGATGTACAGCAACTCCTTTTAGAGAACGACTATCCACAACCAACACACGACAAAGAGCCCCGTCATTGCTCACCCAATTTTTTCACAAGACTAGGCTCATTCTTCGGAGACATTGTTGGTCGAATACGGAAAGTCAATTACCGTTCTCAACAGGGAGGAATCAGGTCTCGCAACCTTTTAGCAAAACACTATTAACCGCTGCGATATACTCCTTTCCCCTAAAGGCCAATCGGATGTCATGGTGACACCACAGGTGTCGCAGGTTGGCAAAAGCTTTTCTATCTTTCACTTTTCTTGATGTTATCTCCTCTCCAACACAACGTCCGGCTGCAATGAAGAACCGGAAATACTTAAAGCTCCCAACCTTGATATTTTTTGTATACAATGGTGTTGATTGTTGTTTTTGTAGCTCGGGCAATATACCTTTGTAGCAATTGTATTGCGAACGTTTGGAATTAAATTGCCAAGCTCGGCGAACAATTGAACATCAAACTTTTAACCTTCCCATTTGATCACCACAGGCACAGGTCAAGTCTTCGAATTACGCCACATATACACACACCGCCGGCCAACAATCTTCTTTGCCCTGAAAAGAGCCTTTGATTCAGTTGACCGCTAATCCCTGATGGGTTCACTGCTTCGCAAAAGCATGCCGCGGAAGTGTGTAAACCTATTTCGATCTTTGTACCTACATACTTCTGGTAGCGTAGGGATATACGGTGGGTAGAGTGAATCGTTCTAAACCAGGAGTGGTGTTCGTCAAGGGTGCCCCGTTTCACCATTCCTGTACAACTTCGTCGTAGACGAAATGCTGAAGAACGCACTAAGTGGCTTCCCAAATGTTGGTATTGAATGGGCAACTGGAGAAAAGCTGTGCAATTTAGAGTACTTTGACGACATCGCTTGTCTGTTCGAATGTATGGATGATGCGCAAAGCGCTCTTAACAGATTTTCGAGTTCTGTAACTTCATTGGTATGCGCTTTTAACCTTCAAAGTGCAAAGTGATGCCAAAAGATTGGGTACCGGTTTTCACACACCACTGCGCTGTCTTACGGATTTCTCAAGAAAATTCACCTGCCTTGGCCTGGAAAACCTGGCAGTATTCGGCCCACATGCAAATCATGGAACGCTTTTCTTTTATAAAGATTATTGTACCGTGATTTAGAACCTTAGCAAACAGATTCCCAAGCTCGGCGCACAGGCGGCGTGGAATTCAGTTCAGCCCTATCTACGAGAACCGATTTCCAATTCTTTTTCATCGACGAACTTCGTATTTATGCACTGTAGTTTTGATTTCTCTTCTGCTTCGAAATCATTCCGAAATTAAGTAAAAGAGTTCGAAAACAGTTCAAAACATTACGATTCCTAGGGGGTTTGTATAATGAAAAGCGTTCATCCAGAAAGAAGAAGGAACGATAGTCAGGTTGTGTCGTCGCCGTTTCGAATCGCAGACTATTTTAATTCCATCTTTGCGGCTCCTCTTCAGAATGTATCCGAGGAGCATGAAACCAGTTCCTGAACAGGGATCACACATAGATCGCTGTATTTCGCTTTCAGGAGGCATTTGTTTTTGTCGTCAAAGTTGTTCAGTAGTGGACACAATTATTCTTCAGGATAATCTTCCAGTTGAAGGTTTCGCTACTCTTTTGTGGTATCAGTATTAAAACATCACAAATGCCATTTCCTAATTGAATTACTCATGTATTCTACATTTTGCAACATTCTTCTCCCAGACGAGGAGATCTCGGAGAACGGTCCCATCGAACCAGATAAAACTATTGACGAGATTCGTCCGGAACCGTACAGTCTTCCGGACGGATTTTTATGGTGCGAAGTTTCGCTTGACGATGAGAAACAAGTGAGTCGATTTACATTTTTCCATTTTTGGTCCGCGTCCATCGTACGTTCGTTTTTTACAACACCCATTTGTGTGATGGACAGCAGACAGAGGATAACGCCGTAGGCCCGAGGACCTGCTGTCCAGTGATGGAAACTGTCTAAGCCACGGATCTTTTCGGCGAACTCCACCTATCAAATCATATTGCACTCGTTTTTTTTTATACTTTACGCCTAACTAGTACGGATATGTCGTTATCAAAGTCCACCTAGTTTAGATTCTTTATTTGCTGTAAATGTGAGTTACTGGTGTAGACAACGATTTCGGACTGCACAGTGACCGTCTGTAGTTTTTGCGTTCTGTCGTTTGTTACGTTCTGTGACCTACCTTTCCAAAGGGTGCTCTAGCCGATTGGCTGGCGTCCTTATCTTTTTACAGAATTATGTATCATTTGTTAAACTCATTTGGAGCTGTCGAAGTGATTCAGGATTATTTCAAAATTATACCGAATTTTCCTGCGATTTGTTGATTGGACCGGCACTCTAAGTGGTCTGTGTGGTCTACGTTTACNTACGCTTGCGCCATACCTTCCTAATCCGCGTATTGTTCTGCAGTGTACAAGAGCGAGCAGCGGCATATAAACTCCATTTTGTGACATGAACAGGATTGACGGCCTCTGCAACTATGTCCGGTCGACAGCTTTCTGTCGTGTAAATGCGAGAGAAACTTATGAAANGCCGAGACGATGATGGGGGGTACGACTCCGTTGAAGGACACGAAGGGGAGACAGCGTGAGGCCTAGAGGAAAACCCATGGCTTGGTATTGTTGCGATACTGAATAAACACAAACTCGAAATGCTGTGGTAGGGTAGGGGGTTGTTGCACGTAGTGCAACAGTTCACCACGGAAAGTGGTATTCGACAGGGCTGCCCCCTCTCCGTTTCTATTTAATTTTGTCATGGATTTAATTCTTAAAACAACCCTATCCTTGTGCGAGGATAGCGGTATCGATTTACTCCCAGGTGGCAGACTGTCTGTTCTTTTTTTTTCTTTATTACACACTTTCGTATGATGAACAGCAGACGGGATGGAACCCCATAATCACGAGGACCTGCTGTTTCGATCTGGAGTATGCAGACGACATTGTGTTACTAAGTGAAGATCCAGGTAAGTTGCAAGCTTTTCTGGATAGCTTGAATACCAGCGTAGCCATGTTGAGTATGCATTTTGCACCTTCAAAGTGTAAAATGTTGCTACAATATTGGGTTGGTTCAGCACCCAGTGTCACTCTAACAGGGAAGTAATAGGGCAAGTGGATAAGTTTTGTTATTTAGGCAGCTACATCTCACCCGGTGGACGCATCACAAATGAAGTATCAGCTCGCATACAGAAGGTTCGGTTGGCATTTGCCAACATGAGACATTTGTGGCACCGTCGCGACATCCGGCTGTCTGTGAAGGGTCGAGTGTATGCCGCAGCAGTTCGGCCAGTTCTGCTATACGGTGCAGAAACTTGGCCATTAAGAATACAGGATAAAGACAGACTGTCGGTGTTTGAACACCGTTATCTACGCAGCATTGCACGAATTTGGTGGGGTAGCCGGATGAGCAATGCTGAGGCCAGGCGCAGAGTTTTGGGTATCCGCGGTCGCCCACTGGAGCAAGTGGTCGACCTCCATAGATTACGTTGGTTGGGGGCATGTGTTACGCATGTCACCAGATAGGTTGCCATGGCGAGCGATGTTCACCGAGGCAGGTGGTGGGTGGAAGAAAGTCAAGGGTGGTCAAGCTAAGACCTGGCACAAAGGTATGAAAACCCTAATCAGGGAACTGGGTCACATAGGTCCCGTTAGGTTTCCCGGCTCGGGATGATCGTAACCGTTTGTTAGAGACACTGAACGATACAGCTGAATGTCGTAAACAGTGGTGTTCGTGTACCTTCTCAATTTCTTTGCAACCTTAGTCCACTGAAACTCTCCATTGTATGTTGCGCTCTACTTTCAACTTTACTGTCTCCCTGTGGCTCATCCAAATGGGCATCCAAAAGACAGCAACCAAAACCGGCGTACGAATATGCGTGGTTAATGATTGGTCAAACTGAAACTGTGCACAGATGAAAATTAAACCGATGCCCACTCACAGTACTCATTTTTTAGGTGTTCAACAGTCACGGGCGATGTAAAATTTTTCCTAGCTGTTTTTGCGGAATGACCGATGTTCATGTACTTCCTAAAATACCGTATCATTCCGTCTGAAGTTTCGTGGACTGAACTTTAAAGTGTTGAATAGGAATTCGTCGGTAGACACGTTTTGGTGTCGATAGAATCTTAACCGTGGGCTGCACCGATTTTGGCTTCATTAAAGTGCGATTGAAAGGTTACCGTTGGACTGCAGATCGTTGCTCAGAATAATTGTTCTGAATTGAGAATGGCACAGTAAGGCACCCAATAAGGAGCTTAGCTGCAACGTGTTCGTGGGTGATGGCGAGTTTATCGAAGCAGACAGTTATTTAGTTCTTGTTTTAACCCCGTTTCCATCGTTCAAATAACCGTGCTATTCGAAACTGGTAATAAAAAGGAAACATTTCTGCGGGTTGAGGACGAGTTTCATTTTGAAAGTTTTGAAACATTTTCGCGTATGGTTTGTCTGAAGCATACATGATGAAATCATTCTGGTAATTGCCAACCCCAAATATATA